TGGAGTTAAGCGTTAGGTTATCATTTACCATACATCTACAGTCAAGGGTTAATTTTACATTTCAAGGACATATGTATTTCCCAACATTGTGTGATGTACTCAGCAATGCTGCAAGGATTAACAAACATTATGCATGCTACCATCACCAATGGTCAGGCTTTTCCGGGACATCTGCATGACAATATTAGGCCTGGGTGCAGCAACAGGATTGAGACTTTCCTGCAAGGCATTACAGCAGTGACTCCTAAGCCTAGATTTCTCAAACAATACCATATAGCTATAAATTATATATTTATCCTGCCAGAATCTACCCAAAATTATTTTTATTTTGGGTGAACTGGCATTTTAACCTTTTTGATCACAATATAAAATCAGAGAATTTTCTATAGTAAACATATTCCACTACAAAAAAACAGTAAAACTGAAGGGAAATCATGAATGCCAACCCAATTTGCCAGAGTTTACTGACAGATAAGCGCTACCTGTCTGCCTTACGAGTGTAAAATTCATTTCACGTCTTCCCCTAAAGAACCATTATTTTATTCATGAGGTTTGTTTTCCTCTCTATGCAAGTGCATTTATTTGGTTCTAAAAAATAGTCTGAATTTGAGTTACTGCACATCCAATGAGGATCATAAAAGATAAGACCACAAAAGTGTATTTTAAGCTGAGAAATCATACTAGATATTTTTTATTATTGTTGAAGGAATATTATAGTGATGTCGACGTCTGTGAAAAAAATACAAAACAAGGGATCAGAGGTGGTCAAAGGGACCACTAGACTTAAAATACAAGTTGATACAATAAAAATCATCCCTATGGCTAAAAATAATACCAAAGCCTCTTTTTACAGGAAACTGTCAGTAATCATGCTTGCCTAGATGGATGCTGCATCTGTCCCCCACTAGCTCTAAGGGCGAGAACTCTGCGATCACATCATCTCTGTCTGCTCTAACTGTATGAGAATAGAGGTCATGTACGCTATTACCCAAATCAGGGTTACCATGAATATTAGATTCATAGCATTGGTAATTTTATCACAGTCAGTTATCTTCTCCATGACAGCTCTGGCACCTCCTCTATCACCAGTGACCACAGGCCAGAGTGTCTCCACCGCGTCACATGATGCTCTGCAGTCTTCATTTGGGCTTATAGTCCAAACTGCTCCTTAGAGCTCCCAAAGCTTTTTGCCTCTGTATGTCTGACCCCTGCAGCTTAGTTCCTCTGCAACCACAACTTTCCAGGTACCCCTGCTACCTCTACTGCCTCTGTTGCCTTCACAGCCCCATTACACACCTATGACATGCACAGACTGCAGTATCTCCGCTGAACTCGTAGTTCCCACTGCACCTTCACAAGACGATCATGCATTTCTGATGCACTTCAGCTTCACTTGCTGTCTCTGCTGCACCTCAATTTCATCCACAGTCTGCTGCACCTTGGCTTCACCCACTGCCTCCACTGAGCCTCCTCAGTCTCTGCTTCATCTTCGTTGCTTCCCAGCTGCATTCACAGTCCTCATTTCCCCCACAGTCTCCATGGCAGCTCAGCTGCTCCCACAGCCTTTGCAGTACCCACAGCCTCAGCCTGTACTACTCTTGTGGGTGTCCTGTGCACCATTTCAGCACCTATATTCTAAACAACAGCCGTACCATCTTGACACCCACAGCCTTCAGATCCTCCTCTGCTTCCAGCTGCCCAATGCCTCTCACCTACCAGTTTCTTGATATCTTACCCCTACCCTCCTGCATCTGTGAGCAGTGGTGTATTGAGGTTTTGTGCTGACCTAGGCAACACAAAAATCGGACGCCCCTCCTCTTTAGTGTAGAGAGCCTGACACTGACCAACACCAGATCCCCTCCCACGGAGAGAGCCTGACACTGACCAACAACACCCCTGCCCCACAAAACACCCCCCCCCAGCAACAGACAGAAAGACCCTCGCCTTTGCAGCTCTGGACATCCCTGGGAACGACAGTCGGAGTCTGCATACACCATCAAGCAGCCCACAGCCTCTCTCAGATCCCACCTGGTCCCCATGCTGCATATGTCCCTTCTTCCAGTGGGCAGTGCTGCCCCCCTAAAAAAATGCCACCCTAGGCAAATGCCTTGTGGTAAATATGCCTGTCTGTGAGTACTTAATGAAAAACCTGCGTGTAGACGGCAACCAATCCAAAACTCCTGTTAGGGAGTCCTTGGTAGAACAGCAGCTGTCTCTTAAGAGCCGTACCCACGATGAGAATATTGGACGAATGATCATGCGTTTTTCTTCTTGCATGCTAGTCTTATATCGAAAGTGAAAAGGTTACTAAAGTTATAGAATTCTTGTACAACAGAAAGAAAATGTATTGTATTTTCGGATGAAAACTGTACTGATTAACTACTTACCTACGCCCTATAGCAGATATACTGCTACAGGACGGCCGTTCTGTGCAAAACTACATGAGTATACATGATTTTGTAGTTCTGGGTAGGGGGTGTGTGCATCGCCCTACCCGCGCTGCCATGGGTTGCAGCGGATGTCAATCACTGGGTTCCAGCTGGCGATTCTTGGCTGGCACTTGGTGATCACCGCTAAAGCTGAGAGGGGAGAGATCTGTGTGTAAACAACAGAGATTTCTCTCCTGCCAATATGGACATGCTGCTTTCTCTCTCTCTACACAGCAGAGATATACAAAGCAGCATGTCTCCCCAGTAAAACAGCACATAGTACACAGTGTAAGCACAACACACAGTTACCTCTTTAATCACCCCAGATGTTAACCCCTTCCTGCCCAGTGTCATTAGTACAGTGTCAGTGCTTTTTATTAGCACTGATCACTCTATTAGTGTCACCGGGAATGTCAGTGGCCGTTAGTCAGTTCCCACCCAGTGTTAGAATGCACGCCACAGTCCCACTATAAGTCGCAGATCGCCGCCATTACTAGTATAACTATAAAAATACAATTCCAGTATATATACCGCCATTTGTTGATGCTATAACTTTATGTAAACCAATTAATTTACACGTATTGGGATTTTTATAAGCAAAGACATGTAGCAGAATACATTGTGGCCTAAATTTATTAGGAAATTTTATTTTTTAAATGTTTTAATCAGATATGTTTTATAGCAAAAACTGAAAAATATTGGGGTTTTTTTTTCAAAACTGATGGTCTTTTTTTGTTTATAGCACAAAAAATAAAAAAAGGCAGGTCAAATACCACCAAAAGAAAGCTCTATTTGTGAGGGGGAAATGACATACATTTCATTTATGTACAGTGTTGCATGACCATGCAATTGTCAGTTAAAGTAATGCAGCATCGTATCACAAAAAAATCGCCTGGTCAGGAAGGGGGGTAAATCCTCTGGAGGACAAGTGGTTAAACAAAAATCGTTCGGTCTGGGATCCTACATGGAAAATGTTTGTGCTGGTCCCTTCAAATAATATTGAATTAAAGCTGTGTACTAACGATCACATTATTGCACGATTACGTAGAAAGCGGTATTTTCCGTATGATTTTCTGATCGTGTGTACTAGGCTTTAGAGTCTACTCTCAGGAATAGCAGTCACATTGAGCAGTAGAGTCTATGTCTCAGGTTGTGACACACTTGTACTATACTATAATAGAGCTGGCTGAATTATACAGGATCATCCACAATGATTTAGACTAATTTATTTTCACACATGCAAAATCACCACACAGATTAAAAACTATAGCTTAATCTTTCTCCACAATTATATTGTTACTTTCAATATTTATCTACTTTAAATTAACAAAATATACTGCAATATTTTAATTTAAATTAGGTCATCCACATAGATTTAGACTCATTTATTTTTATACATTCAAAATTACAAAACAGATTAAATTATACTTCCATCTGTGTCCATAGTACTACCTTCAATATTTATCTACTGTAAATTAAAGTATATTGCTTTATTTCAATTTGTTAGGATTTGAATGCATACTGTAAATCTTACAAGATTGCATCAAGGCAAATACTGAATAACATTAGTAAAACACATATATGTGAGTGTCCATATGTATGAGAATATGTATGAGGGTTTCTGTAAAAAGGGGGGGTATCGATGTGCTCCCCACTACGATGTCGAGATCTGTAACTGTTTTTTTCCCTCTTTTTCAGGGACCAGTAGACTAAAGATGGGTGTTGGGAGGCTGTTTTTGCTTTAAATTTTATATAATGCTGAAACCGCTGTGTTGAAATCCTTGTGTAAAAATGGTTACTTGTAAATAAAAATGTACTTCACTGGCTGGAATGAAGTTCATAAAAAGAACTACACTTGAGCTAAACCCTCAAAGAACAAGCATAGCTAAAGGGGAATATTCTGATGCACAATATATTGCCATTTTAACTGAGAGTTATTTTTTTTAAGTGTGTGAGAGTGTGCTAATATATGAAGCACTAGTCATAAAAACTAGATGTAATAATCAAGGAAAAGAGTACTTGCTGCCTATTGTGATGCATCAGTTTCCATACACTATACATGCATGTAACTGGAATATTAATTTACCTTTTACAGAAGCACTGTCAAACGAACATACTGTACATTACATATTTTTAATATAAGGGATCATTCACACTATATGCAGTGACCTGTATTAAACTGTACAGATCAATAATTGCTTTATATGTGCCCCTATTGACACCACAACAAGGTGAGTAGCAGTGTGCAGTGTAAATATGCAGTTTTTAGCTGGATAGAGAAACAATCTAATGCCTATGGGGCATCAGCAGACACTGCCACTGTCATCCAAGACTTACTAAAGATAGAACTGAACAGACGTGTCCAACTGCTTTTATGAAACCTCTGGTAAGCCAGCAATGGAGGTGATTGGGCGCTTCCCCTTCTCCTAGCTTAAACATATATGGTCTCACAATATGACCATTTACATTTAGGAACCTGGAGGTCATAATAAAATAGTGGCCTTTCCTGTAAAAAATGCAAGGTGATCTCATATCTGGTTAAATACACTTACAATATATTCAAAAACTTACAGGGCCATTGCAAACTGTTCCAGCAGTTCTTTTTCAAGTCTCTGGTCTTCAAGTCTCTGGTCTTACAGTAAAACTCAAAGCCATTTTGCCCTTGGACATGTGTAAGATAAAAGCCATAAGACCACTGCAAAAAAAAAGGTGCAGAATATACATATCAAATGACTGGCAAATATAGGATTATACAGTTCTTACACACATACAGGAAAACAAAAATCAGTAGAAAAATAGGGGTTATAAAAGGAAAACAATGTTTCATAAAATAAACCAAAAATATGTGCACAGTATAAACTCTTCACACTGGCTATAATGATATCATCCCTTGTATAAAAATGTACCCTTCATTTATTACTTCTAATCTGGTTGACCCCCTCCAGCAATTTTGTGGACATACAGAAATCCCAAGAAACCTGCAACAGGGTATTATTAATGAACAAAACCTCTTCATAACAGGTTCCACCCACACACCTGTGTTATGCATTCACAGAAATCTTTTAATAAATAAACTACACGTTCTGTCTGCCATGGCAGCAGACAAATTGTAGTTCTCAATTGAAGTGTGGTGATAGAAACATAAATAGAAACATATTTTTCGCAAATATATCTGCATTTATTATTTTTTTGCACAAGGTAAATTTAGTCTTGAAATGTTAACATAAAGCTATGCCAACTGGCTTACCTGGGTGGACCAAATAACAGTAACTCAGAGGGCACTGGCATCATGAAGCTTGTAATTAGAGATGAGCGAATTATTCAAAAATTCGATTCGGCTGATTCGCCGAATTTGCGGGAGAAATTCGATTCGATGCGAATTTATTCGTTGTGAATTTAACTTATTAAAAGGGTTTCTAGGCTTCAGAGAGCCTTTATATTAGTGCAGAACACTGTACCTTTAATTTAAATGCCCTTGGAGTCTGCTGGGGAAGAGAAATAATACTGTCAGTCAGTATGACATGCAGATGAGTGGGCAGTCACGGGGCACGACGAAGAAGAAGAATGAAAAGAAGAATGAAAAGAAGAAGAAGAAAGAATGAAAAGAAGAATGAAAAGAAGAAGAAGAAGAATGAAAAGAAGAAGAAGAATGAAAAGAAGAATGAGAAGAAGAATGAAAAGAAGAATGAAAAGAAGAAGAAGAAGAATGAAAAGAAGAAGAAGAAGAATGAAAAGAAGAATGAGAAGAAGAATGAAAAGAAGAATGAGAAGAAGAATGAAAAGAAGAATGAAAAGAAGAAGAAGAAGAATGAAAAGAAGAAGAAGAAGAATGAAAAGAAGAAGAAGAAGAATGAAAAGAAGAAGAAGAATGAAAAGAAGAATGAGAAGAATGAAAAGAAGAATGAAAAGAAGAAGAAGAAGAATGAAAAGAAGAAGAAGAAGAATGAAAAGAAGAATGAGAAGAAGAATGAAAAGAAGAATGAAAAGAAGAAGAATGAAAAGAAGAAGAAGAATGAAAAGAAGAATGAGAAGAATGAAAAGAAGAATGAAAAGAAGAAGAAGAAGAATGAAAAGAAGAATGAAAAGAAGAAGAAGGAAAAGAAGAATGAAAAGAAGAAGAAGAAGAATGAAAAAAGAAGAAGAAGAAGAATGAAAAGAAGAATGAAAAGAAGAAGAAGAATGAAAAGAAGAAGAAGAATGAAAAGAAGAAGAAGAAGAAGAATGAAAAGAAGAAGAAGAATGAAAAGAAGAAGAATTCCAGTACAGCAAAAAGTGTATCTGCAGAGAGCTCCGCTATTTCTGACAGTTCTCTGACAGTTCCTTCACATTTACAGCAGTTGAAACATTGTATCTATTTATTTCCGAATAAAAACATCTGTATCCTAAATGGAAACAAATAGATACAATGTTTCAACCGCTGTAAATGTGAAGGAACTGTCAGAGAACTGTCAGAAATAGCGTAGCTCTCTGCAGTGACACTTTTTGCCGGCTGATCGGGAAAAATTCGATTCGTGCATCCGAAGTTTGCTAAAATTCGGATTCAGTGCGAATCGAATTTTTCCTAATATTCGAAACGAATTCCACTTCGCCAAGTTTCGATTCGCTCATCTCTACTTGTAATGCTAGCTTGGTTGGAGTGGCACAGATACAAAGGTTATAAAGTATATCTTGGTGGAGTGAATTGCAGTAGAACTTGCGTTTTACCTAATTTTCCTGCATGGTACCCACAACAAACAGATCTTAATACAGCCTCAAAAAATACTTAAAACTGACAAAACATTCTAGTTCCCATTAAAGATAACCCACAGACATCTATTGGTAATTGGCAAGAGCTAGCAGGTATGCTAGTACCTTATCTTGATATAAATGTTTTCCATTTTTAAACAACTTTCCCCCTATTCTTAGGTAACACAGCTGTTCTTTTGCAAGAGGGATTACAGCATGTATTCAACTTGGAACACTGTATAGTGAGTTTTTTAACCCTGTGGTGTCCCAGGAGGATACATTTTAATGTGAGTGGATATATATTATTTTAAATAAATGTTATTTTTGGTTGTACGTACTACACTTTATTCAGCGTTTTTTTTACATGATTGTGGAGTGGATTGGATCTACACAAAAATGCTGGCAAAGAGTTTACAAAGAATGGGAAGACTTTGTACTATTATACCTGCCCGGGTTAAAAGGGAAAAGTTTGGTTTGATCTGTCATTATGGATCAAACTTTGAGGTGAGCGCAACAGTGTGTTGGAGGTGGAAGAGCACTAAGGGGTGATACAGGAGCACCGTACACTTGTATACAGTAGCGTGACTACACCGGTCTACACAAAGTTATTGTGGAATTAAAGGGACTGTTCACAACGATTTATGTTATATTAAGTTGCACGATTTATGTTGTAAGTATATCACAAAGCACTGTGGATGTTACAGATTATGTATGGATCTACATATATTCATTGAAATATATGACCAGAAGCACATATTGGATTATTAAGTATTCACAAGTACGGAAGAGTATCATTTACTGTCTCTATTGATCAATATGCATTTAGCAGGTCGCAGTTGATACAGTAGCACCATTGCTTTCATTTAATTATTTAATTATTGTGCTACATTTTCACCATTTATTTATTTTGTTATATGTGGGAACACATCACATGCTAGCTGCACATCTGGTAGGAGGTATTTATTGCGCTGAAGTTTTTTCTATATATAACACAGCTGTTCTGCTCACATAAAGTGCTGGTTTACACTTGAACGCGGTTCAGAAAACCTGCATTCTGTGCACGTTTCCTACACCACGTTCAAAATGCATCTGAGAGCTGCAGCAGGTGTCAGTGTTAAGTTAGCAAAAAGAGCAGGGATACAGCGAGCGCTCAAATCAGAATAAATTAATAGATAAAAAATATTAAATAAAGATTATTAGTATAACCAGCTGCATATGCACCAATTTAGGAACCCTAAAAGCCAGTGAAAACCAATCAATAATCAATTGATTGAAGTGTTAAGTTAGCGACACCCCAACCGCATATAGCAAATGCACTGGATAACATAGTGTCAAAATACAATGCAATCTGTTTTCAGTGCGTTTTTAAAAGTGGTGCATGCACTACTTTTGGTGAGATACAGTACAGCTCACTGCATTCAAATCACACAGGAAAGCGTTTTTAAAAGTGGTGCATGCACTACTTTTGGTGAGATACAGTACAGCTCACTGCATTCAAATCACACAGGAAAGCTAGCGCTTTTCTGTGCGATTTTTGGTGTGAACCGGCTCAAAATGTGTTTAGAGAAAAATTTCCTTTCCTTCTGCTACTTCTCTTTCCATAAAACCTTCATCACTTCCATGATGTACCTTTCTGTTCTCTTTGTCAGTAGTTGGGTTATTGGTTACTTTGTACTTTTGAAGATCAATTATCTCCTTCATTTCATGGTTGTCCCCCTCTTCTTTTGCACACAATAACGGCCAAATCAAACAGGAATATATACCTTTAAAGGAACATAAAAGTCACACATCAGCATTATGTGGATTCAATACTCAGAAAATGACATTGATTTTTAGTAAGGCACTTGCTCCCTCTTTGGGAGTGACCGCATGACCCAGCAAACGTGTCACTGGTCACTTTACTCCCATGTGGGCCTGACCTTGTAGCTTAGTAAACATTTCACTGTCACTGGGTTGCTGTGTTCAATACGCTCACCAAGCAAACATGTCAGTGATGTTAGACATGTCTGTTAGTCATTAAGATATAAATGTCAACGGGTAAAAATTTTCCTAATTTTAACTGACCTTTGACCTTGTGATCATGTTAGATTGTTACTAAATTGCTTTTTTAAGGAACAGGGCAGTCACATAAATGATCTTTTACCTGTCCTGCCTGGTGCGTTTATCCAGTGTGCTAAACTTTATCTCGCAGTCCACCTTCGGTCTTCCATACTGTATTAAGGGCTGATTCTAAAGATAAAAGTAAATACGGCAATACAATTAAATGCAAATAATATACTCATAATTGCACAGTTGCTGAATTGTCCAAATGCATGTAAAAAGAAAAATGTATATATGGAACATGTATACTATGTTATCTTGACAATGCAGGTTGGACACCTTATACAAATGTCTAGTGAATGAGTTGAGGATGACATGGCAATAACACCCACCCACAATTCGCCCTTTCTAAATCTTTTGCTGCAGAAACTTTATACACTAATTATCAGCACTGAGATCTTGACTCAGATCTAATAGCTCTTGGTGTGCATAGTTTCAGCACCCAATAAGGTAAGTAAGGTCCTGCAGGGGTTAAATATTCTGACTTCCAGCATATGCGTGGTGCTTACATCTCAAGCTGCCGTCTTGGTAGTGGCGTTCCTCGCCACCTCCCTTTTTTGTTTGCTGCCCATGTGGAGGCTAGGTGCCTCCCACAGATGTCTGCCGGCAGGACATATATAGGGAGTCTCACCTTGGGAGGTTTTGCATACACAACTTTCTAGGGACACACTCCACATCATGTGATTGTCTTTTTCCTGTGACAGTTTGCAACAGGTAAAAGGTTTCTACTTTGCCTATGTGCTCTTTCTGTTTTTTGTTTTTTCACTGACTTTTGCAAACCTCTGGGTATCCTTTTTCTGTGTATTCATCTAGATCTACATGACTATACATTATTTTCTTTTATATGCCGGGCAGCTTTTCACCTTTTCACTTTTTTCTTCCCGTTTCCCTAGGTATTTCTGATATTATGGTGGCAGCCTTTGAAACAGGCCTTTTAGATATATTTGGTTTATACATTATAAATCTTTGTACACAGGTTCTAATATATTTCCGCATATATGCTAGCTTCGCCTCTGTGAGCCTCCTTTGTTTGCCTCTGCTGAGCGATCCACTCAACCTTTAGCTCCTGGCCAAGACATGCTTGACGGAGCCCTGGGTTGCCTCTGCCATTTGGTGCTTTTTGATTCTTGTGATACTCTTGAGCTTTTTTGGTGTCATGACTTTTACACAGAGATTGGAGAATAATTTTTTTTCTATTATTGTGTTTTGCTGGAATATGCATTAAGTATATATTTATTTATCTTTAATGACATGGTATCTCTACAGATATGTATTCTGATTTCAGCATTTCCTGAAGAAGTGAACATTTCTTCACGAAATGCATTGAGAATATTATCAGTACTTGATGGTTGTGAAAATAATTTTGTTTTCATGTGGAACATAAACCAGTCTTCACGTTTTATCTTTCTACTATATGGCTATATTTAGGGCTGTCGATAAGGGGTTACCACCAATCCTCCTGTATGCCCAGGCCAAAAGGGGGGCTCAGGAAGATAGATGAATTGGATGTAGGCAGGGAGGGTGATTGGGAGGGGGGCAGTTACTGGAATCAAACCCCTTTATGGCTCTCTCCTCTCTGATATCAGCTGCTGCAGAGAGAGCTATTGGTTCCAGTAATTCACCCCCCATCGCATCCATCATCCTCTTTGTGCGCCATACATTCACCCCTGTTGCCCAGGCCCCCCTCTTTTCCCCCCATCCCCACAGCACTGCTGGCTTCCCTCCTCTCCTTCCCACCGGCAGATGCAAGCATGCAATAGGAACCTTCAAGATGGAGAGAGAGGGAAGAGTCCAGTAAATATGTTACATTTACCAGCCCTTTTCCTGAATGAACACAATGAGTGATCAATGCCGATCACTTGTTGTATTCATTCATAACTGAAGCATAGTAAACTGTGGGTTTTTTTTTGGGGGGGGCTATCAGTTTGGCTGAGGCCCCGTGGTTTCTAACAGCAGCCCTGGCTATGTGTGTTTTGAACCTTATTTTTACATTTTTATAAACAATAAAAGATGTGATATTTTTATATAATGTGGTATTAATTCTTTTGGCACAACTCAACAAAAGTCCCATGGGCATTATTTGCTTCTAGTTAATTAATCATCAGGTAAAGGATTCAGCTACAGCCAAGAGTTAGGAAGTTAAGGTTAAGGGTTAGGGTTTAAAGAAGAATTACCACTAGAAATCACACACAGGAATTGCAGTGGAGATTGTTGCACTTTACTTAGTGTGCCATGTACTACATACACAAAAACAAGATCAGAGTGAATGTGAGAAACTACAAGTCATAGAGTTGTGCAATATTTTTTTTAATATATAGAATTTGAAAGGGTTAGAATACTGTTGACTTATTATTGCTCTTTGTATTCCCATTAAAGGTTTCTCCTTACTTCTTTGTCTAACAGGTGAGACAAAACAGGGGCCAGACAGAACAGGGCAGTGATGGGAAATACACCCCCACTCTATTGGTACATGAACAAATATTAAGGTAGAAAGGATTAGAACATTTGCCAAAATGATATTGCAGTCCATATACACTCACCGGCCACTTTATTAGGTACACCTGTTCAATTGCTCGATAACACAAATTGCAAATCAGCCAATCACGTGGCAGCAACTCAATGAATTTAGGTATGCAGACGTGGTGAAGACGACATGCTGAAGTTCAAACCAAGCACCAGATCAGGGAAGAAAGGGATTTGAGTGACCTTGAGCATGGCATGGTTGTTGTACCAGATAGAATGGCCTTAGTATTTCAAAAACTGCTGATCTACTGGGGCTTTCATCCACAACCATCTCTAGGGTTTACAGAGAATGGTCCAAAAAAGAGAAACTATCCAGTGAGCAGCAGTTGTGTGGACAACAATGCCTTGTTGATGTCAGAGGTCGGAGGAGAATGGGCAGACTGGTTGCTGCAACATTCAGATTCAGAATTTGGTGTAAACAACATGGAAACATGGAATCTTCCTGCTTTGTATCAATGGTTCAGGTTGGTGGTGGTGGTGTAATGGTGTGGAGGATATTTTCTTGGCATTAGCAAGGTGCACCTAATAAAATGGTTGGTGAGTGTATGTCTATGGTTAAGGTTCCCTGTTTCCTGTCCAGGAGTTTAACATAGAACAGATAGAGAAGGTTATCCTTCTTCAGCTTCCTTATGGGTAGGCATTTTGTAGGTTTGAAGTCTATGATATTCAGCATTATGTTTCAGCTGTTTTTTATACTAATGCCCAGTGATGATAACAACCAGGGCTGAAAAAACATGTTTCTGTGTTGTATGCTTCTAGTCCAGTGCTCCTCTTTCTCCCTCTGCTGTAGTTTCCTTGTTCAAGAAATTTGGAGGTTAAATTAATAAAATCAGACATAGATTTGAAGACAAACAAACGAAACCAGCGCTCAAATCTTCATGCAGACTATAAAAAATTCAGAATGCCAAACAGAGAGGTGCTGCCCTTCAAAGATCGGGAAATCTGGACACTGGTGAACAAAAACAGACAAGGGTGCACTCTCATCGTGCATTACTGTGGCAACCCACGTATTTATTGAATAAACAAATAGATGTATACTCACAAGCCAACGGAAATTAAAAACAGAATGTGTGGTCCCATAATGACAGTCAGTGCAATGCTGTGCCTCTATTAGGGATAAGCTGACGCGTTTCGGGAAATGAACCCCCGATGAGCTCTGAGGGCACAGCATTGCACTGACTGTCATAGCGGACCACACATTCTGCTTTTAATTTCCGTTGGCTTGTGAATATACATCTATTTGTTTATTCAATAAATATGTGGGTTACCACGGTAATGCACAATGAGAGTGCGCCCTTGTCTGTTTTTGTTCAGACATAGATTTGAGCCATATTTCATATCAGCCTCATCTAGGTTTGCTAAAAATATATATTAGAATTCACTCCATCCTTCATTCTATATAGAGAATATGACATTTAAAAAAAAAAAACATAGAACCACTGCTCGTAGCAAAGATTTGCCACACTTACAACCATTAGTTCACTTGATCTATGTGCTACTTTTTATCAGTTCTCTGCCTGAAACAGGCATCTGCTCATTTTTCTCTTTTCCTGGTCACACAAAAAACTCATATCTGTTAAGTAGAGTTTTCACTTAATTGCCATATACACTTCTTACTTCAAAACAAAGATAAAATTATCTATCATTGTTGACTATAAAACAGGTACCATACTATATACATTGGAGCACAGATTATAACACACTTCACTGTCCCATACCATCAAATAGTAGAGATTCAACCATTAAATATTTAGATCTCAAACCATTCCCATAGCAGTGACAGATTAACATCCAGGATACTGATAAATACACAAATGTTCAACAGGTTTATAAGAGACATGTTAAAAAAATAGAAAAGTAAGGCAGCACTCTGGGCACATTCACACGTTCACACCTTTTACTGTCCCTCTGAAAAGTGATCTTTTGTGGATAGCTGTTCAGAGCGTAGTAGAGCAGTGTCTGCCAGGCATTCAGTAAGTGATACTGCTGCCTCCTGAATGCTTGTTTTAATTTTTCTAGCTGAAGGGGTATTTTCTATTGAAATACTGCATCACATTTAAAGTGAATGTAAAGGCTTTTTCTTTACTAACAAGTATGGCATACTTACCTGATCTGTACAATGGCTTTGCACAGAGAAGCCCTGAACCTCCTGTTCTGGGGTCCCCTGCTGGTGCTCCTGGCTCCTCCACCCTTCTGAGTGCCCCTATAGCAAGCTGCTTGCTATAGGGGCACCTGTGCAGATGCGCTCTCAAGCCAGCTGTGCGTGTCTCCTCACAGGATTTGATTGACAGCAGTGGAAGCAAGTAGAGGAGAGAGAGAGAGAGCACATTCCCTGCACATTCTTAGAGACATCAGTCATACAGTGGGGAAAATAATTATTTGATCCCCTGCAGATTTTGTAAGTTTGCCCACTTACAAAGAAATAAAGGGTCTATAATTTTTATCATAGGTGTATTTTAAATGATGGAATGCCAGAATATCAACCAAAAATCTAGAAAAAAACACAATACAAATGTTATAAATTGGGTTGCAGTTCAGAGATTAAAATAAGTATTTGATCCCCTAGCAACCAACAATAATTCTGACTCCCACAGACTGGCTATGTT